GACTATAATGTAAATGTAATAGATCAGACACACAAGCTTAAATATGCAAACCTAATATAAGGCAGCATACATGAGTAACTCAAATTACAAAGAGCAAAATAAAAGCATAAGAAGTAGGGAGACATGTCTTTTTATGGGAAGGGGGTCAAGAAATGGAGGAAAAAAGAATGAAAAAAGATGTGTTATGTATGTATATGAACTCCCCACAGGAAAAATGATCATTATGCACTATAAACACATACTAACAAAAAATTGAAAAGAGCAGGACAAGAGCCTCAGAGGGAAGACTATGAGAAGACAGGATGCAGATGACATTACATAAACAAAGAATCCACAGGAATGAAAAAGGTGAATCACAACAGACCTTGTAGAAACCCAGAAGATCGTCTGTACCTGAGAACTTGTATTCTAATAAGGTGGAAAATGCTAAAGAAATAGATTCCTACATACATATGAATTTCCAAAGCTGAATCAGGAAGATCTAAAAATCCTAAATGTGCTGATGTCAATGAATGAAATCAAACATAATTAAAAACCTACCAACAAAGAAAAGCTCAGACCCTGACAGATTCTCCTCTTAATTCTAAAATAAATTTAGAGAAGACCTAACACCACTACTTCTCAAACTCTTTAATGAAATTGAAAAGGAAGCAGTACACCCAGATTCATTCCTGGAAGCAAGCATTACCCTAATACCAAAACAGAAGGACCCAACTAAGGATGAGAAATACAGGCCAATCTCCCTAGTGAACATAGATGCAAAAATCCTCAATAAGATACTGACTAACATTCTTGTTATATAGGTCTTGCTATGTCTTGGTCTTAACCATCCAGCAGAAAAGTATAAAAACAAGATATATAAAGTAAAGCCATATTAATATGCTGAGCTGTGAAAGGCTCAAGTCAACAACTTCTGAGGATAACCCACTAATATTATAGACTGCTAGACAGTGTTAGATTGTTTAGTTGAATTCAAACATCTATAGTATTTAGATGCCAATAGAATATTCACTTCTGACAGACAATAAAAAAAATGATACAAAAAAAAGATACTGACTAACAGAATGTAGCATATCATCAGAAGATTATACATCTTGACAAAGTGGGATTCATCTGAGGGATGCAGGGATGGTTCAACACATGTAAATCAATAAATGTAATACAGCACATTAACAGAGCCAAGGACAAAACCCATATGATCATCTCAATAGATGTAAAAGAAAGCATTTACAGTCCAGGGCCCATTCATGATTTAAAAATACCTACAGAAAACTAGAATACATGGTTTTTATCTCAATCTGATAAAAAACAATCTATGGCAAACCAACAGCCAACATCATGCTAAATGGACAAAATCTGAAAGTTTTCACTCTAAAGTCAGGAACAAGATAAGGATGTCCACTGTCTCCATTCTTATTCAACATAGTCCTGGAAATTGTAGCCAGAGCAATTAAGCAAGAGAAAAAAGTAAAAGAAATGATAGGAAAGGAAGAAGTTATTTGTAGATGACATAATACTCTACATAGAAAACCTCAAAAACGCCACTAAAAAACCTGCTAGATTTAATAAACAAATTCAGTAGCATAGCTGGATACAAAGTCAACACTCAAAAATCAATAGCCTTCATGGACATGAAGGACTCACTGAGAAAAATTAGAGAAACATCTTTCACAATAGCATCCAAAGAAAATTAATTACCTAGAAGTCAATATAAATGATGTAAAAGACCTCTACATTGAAAATTACAGTACTCTGAAAAAGGAGATTGAAGAGGATATCAGAAGATGGAAAGGTATCACTTGCTCTTGGGTAGGAAGAATTGATATTGCAAAAATAGCCATACTTCTAAAAATTTATACAGATTTAATGCAATTCCAGTCAGAATTCCAACAGCATACCTCACAGAATTAGAGAAAATCTTAAAACTCAGTTGGAACCAGAAGAGAACTAGAATAGCAAAGGCAATTGTGGGCAACAAAAGCAAGGCAGGGGGGAATCACAATCTC